ATTACTCGACCCCTTAATGGTACAACAAAATCCCATCTAGCTTTGCCTGCAGCGGTGGGGTTGGGGATGACAGGTAACCGAGCACAATCTGTGGCAGGCACTGTGCCAAACCCTTTTATAAATTTCTTCCTCAGCTTCCCAACCACCCTTCAGGCAGTTGCTAGAATGATCTCTATTTTAGAGGCAAGGAAAAGGGAGGTTTGGGGAGGTGAAGTTATAGCCCAGAGTAATAAAAGTAATAAGTTAAAACAAGAGAATCAGAGATGTCTGTCCTTGTTCTGCCAAGGAAGGGCGGACTTTCTGGAGCCAGGACTCCAGAACCTGACCCACAGGAAGAGGAAGACAAGAGTGATGCTGGGGGTGGGGGTGGGGGTGGTCAGTGGGGTGGGGTGGGGCGAGGAGGCAGGGGTAGTTCACAAAGTGTTTGCAAAGGAGAGCAGTCAGTCCTTGTAAGAGCTGGGGTACACAGGGTTAATATCATCCCTCAGCTTCTTATTGCATGCTGTCTTCTTTTTGTCCTAAGGCAAAATTGGTCCCCTGGTCTAAAACTTTCCAGAATTCATTTTATTTCAAATAAGAACCAAGTTGCTATCTCCACAAGGCCTACTGTCAGTCTTGCCTTTCGAAAACTCATAATATTCCCTCTTTAGAAGGCTGCCATAGCTCCCCAGTTCCTGAAAAGATGAAAAGACCCACCTACCCCATCATCTTTGAACAACCATCCTTTCATCACACCCTAACACCTGCATCCCCCCACACATCCTGAAACTCCCACAATACAAATGGCACTCAGGACTTCGTTTTACCTTCCTCAGGAAAACCTCCCTTCTTCTTCTCACTTGAGGCCACACATAACTCATCAGCCAACCAAAGAAACCATTCCTCTATTTACCCCATTCGGCTTACAAGTTGAACCCAATTTGTTCAGGAGTGCAAGATGCCTTTTTAAAAGTAAATACTTTATGCAACCAACCTGGTTTCGATCCCCAACATCCCACAGGATCCCCCAAACACTGCTAGGAATGATTCATGTGTGCAGAGCCAGGAGTAACCCCTGAACATCACTGGGTGTGGCCCCCAAACCAAAAAAGTTTTTTAAATGTAAAAAGTAAGTGCTTTACCATCCATAGCAGGTTTGGATGGCCATAAGGCACAGTTCCATTCACGCAGGTAAGCACATCCTCAAGAGAGAAGCTCTCCCCAAGCAGGGCAGCAAAGACATAGAGATGTGAGTTACATGCTCTTTGACTCACTATGCATATCTAGAATGCAGGTGTGAAACTCGGAGATGCAGCAACCACTTTGCTATTGGGAGACAATAGGCAGGAGGCCAAAAGCCTGTGTGCTAAGAGCAGAAACACAGAGCCTGGGTCCCCAACAGCCCAGCTGAGGTATAGTCTCATTTATCCTTCTTGTACAAAACAAATAAGGTCAGTGTGGCTAAACTATGATGGTGATGATTTTATTCCTAGCTGCTGAATTCACATGATGCTATTTGGCCCATCTAATCTACAGGTGAATTCAGATGTGACCCTCTCTGGGCTACCCTCTGTGACATCCTCGGAGAACCCAAAGTACATCCTTCCTTCCCTCTGCTTTCACAGAAGATAATTTTCTCTCTTAGTCCTTCTGGATTTGGCCCTCATGAGGTTTTCCCCGTCAGTCTGTTCAAATGCCCAGAGGGCAAAGGGGGCTCCTCAACCCCACTTCAGCATCTCCACAGTGCCTGGAATGAGCTTGGCTCTGCTCCACTGAGGTCGTGTTGGTGCTGTGTCTCTCAGGTCACATCTCCAAGATATCTGCAGCCCCTAACTCCTCACTTCATCCTCTGCTGGTTCTTGAAAACTTGAACAGAAAAAACGACACATACCCATACCCGAAGCAGGTCCTCCGATGAAATCATTTGGTTCAGAATCAACCAGGACCATGTCTATTTTGCTTGCCTTGTCTCATCACTGTTATAACCAAAGACATGGAAGGAAAAGACCCACTGTAGAGTGAGGAGAAAGGGTGAGGGGTCCAGTTCTGGGGGCTGGCACTTGGCTAACTAGCTCTTTGGTCTTGGGCAAGTTAGAGGACCTCCGGGCCTCTGGTCCCTCATCTATAACAAGGAGAGGATGAGAATACTTATCCAACACGGTTGTCACAAAGACAAAATAGTTTAATTGTAAGCACTTAGAATGGCTTCTGTGCTTAATGACTGCAGGCTCCTATTAGTGTAATGAATACCACAGTTGCTGATGAACAAATAAATCAACATATAGTTGCTAAACAAATGAAAGAAACAAAATGCAGGAAAATTCTGGAATTTACACCGGAAAACATTGGGCCTGAACTGTTTGTACCTGACCCTTTACTTAGCATTCTAACTCTAATCCCCCACATTGGGGGACTTCTGTAGCCTGTTCAAGGTTATGATGGAAGGCAGATTTTTGAACTGTGACTTAGCTTCTGCTGTGTGGCTTTGGGCTCACTCACTCCTTCCCCTCTCCAGGCCGACCTTCCTTCCTTAGCTGTAGACTGGGGGTCCTAATAGTCCTTGTTCAAAGAAAAAGCAGCAGCATCCACTTCATCGGGTTATGGTGAGAATGAAAAGATAAACCCAACAGACAGTGTTGTTCCTGTCATTCTGAAACAGTTAAGCGTTAGCAACCGTTACCAAACACCGTGGTTACTAATTTGGTGGAAAGCGTGGCTTTCCCACTAAATCACATGTGGCTGTCTATGGCTGACACAGTTGGGGAGAAGCCCCCTTTCCTTACCACACCCCATTTATGTCAGGAGGATACCCGTTTCCAGTGCCAATAAAATAATGGTGTCATTTTAAATTTTTCTCTTATGGGGAGTTAATTTACCTGATGAGCTTGAGCTGGGCCCTGCGTAGACATCCCATGGGCCCAAAGAACGCCTGTGCAAGCCTGTGAAAACACCCAAGGACCCAAGTGTTCATAAAGCACTGCTGGATGTGGCCCCAGATCAAAGGTCTAGTTAGCAGTTCAGCTTCATCACATTTTCACCTTGTAGATTCTCTGTCCCCCCGCCCTGACCTTAAAAGGCATGGTCACACAGCTTTGCATAACTTTCCCTTAAAATGTAAATCAAACCTTTATATTGGTCCCTTCTGAGCCCTGTGGTGACTCCATTCATCTATTTTTACTAAGAAATATGCTGTTTTAACAAGATATTTATTCCACTTGGTTGTCATCCAAACGCCTTTCGACTGAACTGCCCTGGGTTGGAGCTGCTTAAACTCTGGGTCCTCGTAAGTAGGAAACTACCCTTCGACTGAGATCTTGAAGGGCTCTGGACTCTCACCCCTTCACTTCAGCCAGCACCTGTGCATGTGTTGCGTGCATTTCAGAGGATGAGTATGGGGGATGAAGGGAGGAGGATTGCCTTCTCCATCAGGGCCTGCCTCAGACCTGGTGACTGCTAACTGCGGGCAGAGAAGACCATCCTTAGAGGGCAGGTGGAGAAACTCTCCGGGGAAATGACAGTGATCTCTCAAGAGCAACTCTTTCAAACTGGGGTGGGTCCAGAGAAAGTCCTTGCCACCCCTTCCCAGACCCCCCCCCCCCCTTTCCGGTACCAACAGAAGGCCCAGACCCGCATCTCCGCATCTCCCCTGCCAGCCCTGTGAAGCCCATCAACCAGTGGCTGCCTTGAGCAAATGACAACTTGGTTTCCCTGGACAAGTTTTGCCTGCCAACTCACGCCCCTCTTCCTCCGTGTCCCCCTAGCACCCCGCAGCGAAGAGGCTACGGGAGTTGGGGGCTGCTGGTAGCTATCCTGCGAGGTCTCCCCCGCGTTTCCCAACTTTGCGCACCAGCGCCCGAGAATAAGGTCAAGTTTGCCGAAGCGATTCCCGGGAATGCCACAAAGACGCGGCCACCGCGGCTGCGAGGAACCTCTCGTGGGGCCGCCGAAAAGCGCCAACTGCCGGGCCCGGGGTGAACTTGGGCTGGAGCGGGCTGGGAAGGGGCGGGAGGGGGTGGGGGGAGGGTGTCCGCGCGCCCCCTCCCCACAGCCCTTCCACCCCCGGGACCCTTCCCCACGCGAGTTCCCCGGCACCTGAGCAGGGCGTCGGGGGTGCGCTGGGGGGTAGGGGGGCGGCGCTCGGGCCCTGCCCCCCGCCAGGTAGCCGGGGCGCCCCGCCGCCTGCAGCCGCCAGGAGCGCGGCGAGCGGCGGCGGCGGCGGCGGCGGCGGCGGCAGCCTCAGCCCACGGCGTCATGCTTCCTGCCACCACATTACGGCGAATCGTCACCGGCAGGAGAGGGGAGAAGCGGGGAGAGCGGAGGAGGGAGGGAGGGAGGGAGGGGAGCAGACACGAGCCCCCCGGCCTGCCCCAGCCGGCTCGCGCGCGCGGGGCCGCGTCCCGGGGCCGCCCCGCCCGCACCCCCGCGCGGCGGCGGGGCGCAGACGGGCGCGGGAGACGGCGGCGAAAGGCAGGAATAAAAGGCGAGTCGGGGCTACGTAACGCCCTGTCGAAAGCGGACGCCATATTTTTTTGTGGCTTATGTCGACATAGGGAAACGTAGACATGTTTGCTCTCCTCCTCCTCCTCCTCCTCCTCCTCCTCCTCCTCCTCCTCCTCCTCCTCCTCCTCCTCCTCCTCCTCCTCCTCCTCCTCCTCCTCCTCCTCGCGCTCCCGCGCCCCTGGAGCCAAACTTGCCATCGAAACTCTTCCCCCCCAATGATGCACCCCTCCATCCTCTTATTTCCTCCCCCCTTCCTTCCCCAGCCACCCCCCCCGACACACATGCAGCCCGCCCCAGCCTGCACCCCCTCCGCCTCCCTCCTCCCGCACCCCCCACCCCACCCCACTTCCAATCACAGTCGCGGCCAAGTCCCCGGAACCGCACGTTTTCGGGAGCCCGGGCGGCGGCGGCGGCGGCGGCGGCGGCGGTGGGAAAGTTGGGCTGGAGTGAGTGGCCGGCGCCCGATGCGCGGGCGCGGGGGGCGGGGAGGGGGTGCTGGGCGCCGGGGCGAAGTTTCTTACCTGCGCCGGGGCGGCGAGCGCGGGGACACCCGGGCCGGGAACGCGGAGACGCGGCACGGGCGTTCCAAAATGGAACTCTGCTGGCTTTCCCCCCACCCACTCCCCACTCCCCTCCGGGCGCCCGGCTCGGGCTCCGTGGGAAAGAGCCGCGAGCGCCCAGCCTGCCAGACACACAGACCGCGCAAGCCCCCGCAACGAGAGAGTGGCGAGCAAGGGGGAAAAAAAATTTTTTTTAAAGAAAAAAAAAAAAGAAGAAGAAGGGGGGGCAAAAAAAAAGAGGGGGGGAAAATGTCTCGATCAGTGGGGAATCTACGCCAAAACCCACATGATCTGTAACGTCAGCATGCGTATTTGCATACGATACCACCAACCCGAGCTGCCACCCCGGGCTCGGGTTCCGCAGAAAGTTACAAAGTGAAATCCAGCCCCCCTCCCGAGACGCCGGCGAAATGTCATTTTCAGACGCGAGCTGGGGGGTGGGGGGGTGGGGGGGGAGGGAGAAACTGGCCCTGGAGGCACTGGTGACTAGCCAAGGTTCGGGGCGTGGAGCGGGGCGGCCGTGGTGGCGGTGGTTTGCTGTTGCTGTAAATTAACTTCCAAAGTCTGAGCCCGGTAACGGACTCGGTGGCATTTCTGCGAGGGGGAAACGAGTGCGACATCCTGGACGATTCGGAGCCACCCGGAGGAGCGGCGGCCCGAGTCTCCCCGCTGCAATACTCCTTTTCTTTATGAAAAGTTCAAGGTGTCACTGATGAGCTCAACTAACTGTTGATCCTGACCACGTGGAGCGGCCGACGCCGAGCTCGGGGTGGGGGAGGAGGCGGGGGGGCGCGGCTGCTCGCAGGGACCGGGTGACATCCCGACCCTCGCGGGACTCCCACCCCGCGCCCGGAGGGCAGCAGTGCACGGGGGTGGGGACCCGGGTTGGGGGGGAGGGGGGAGGCGCCCGGCGCCCCGGACTCTGCCTGCACTTCCTCCGGCCTCCGGCTTCCGCGAAATAATAACAACAGTGACATTTATTTCTAAACGATACATTTATTCCCAGAATCGCTCCAGAGAGGACTCCGCGGACCCGAGAGGGTTAGGAAGAGCCACCACCTCCCAACCCCGCCCCCAGCTTATATAATGACTTTTGGCTGCGGGAGGGGAGACAGCGGGGCGGAGGGGCGGGGAGGGTGTGTGTGGGGGGGTGGGGGGGGGGAGATTCCGAGGTTTCCGCTTGCGCCAGGTCTGAGCTGGGTTCTAGAGCTTCAAACTTTTCCCCTCCGGAGTCAATAAACAATCAGACGCCCGGGGAGCCGAGCGAAACTCTCGCCTGCAGCCGTTCTCCCGCGACCGTCAGGCTCGGAGAAAGCAGGGAACTTTCTCTCCCGCGCAGAATCGGGTCGGCTGGTCGCGACGGGAGGGGATCCCCAAGGCCGCCGTCCCCAACCCCCCACCCACCTACCCGATTCCCTCCCTCACGCGTCTCGGTGCCAACGCGGGAGGAGCATCTCGCTGCCCTGTGCCTGCCGCCTCGGGAACCGTGCGTTTGCGTCCGGGGTCCCGCGCGCCTTGCAAACCAACCGGTGCTCCGCGGAGGCGTGCTAAACCCGGATTGGGGATCCTGCGGCCGTTGTCGCAATCTCAAGGGCCACCTGTCGGCGCCCTGGCATTCCTGCGCCGCTGGACCTGCGTTCCCGCTTCCGTGGGTATCTCGATGCGCTCGCATCTTCCCGGCGGTGAGCTGCCGCCCGAGCGCGCACCAGCCGCCGAGCTGGGTGGAGAGGGACGCGGTCTGGTGGTCTGCGTGGGGGACACCGAGAGCCTCGAGAAAACAAAGGGAGCCCGGGCTTGGGAGGCTCCGCCGAGTCTCCGCCCGCCCAGAGGAGGCGAGGGCCGCCGAGCGTCGCGGCTTCCCGGCCAGCCTCTGCTCCGGGGAATTAGAACGAACTCTAGCGGCGGCTTGCGACTCGGCTCTGGGCGCAGGGCGGCAACAGGTGGCCCTGTGCGAGCGCGGCGCAGTGGCTCGAGTGGAGAATAGCGACCGAGCGGGGAGGGCTGGCTTTGGTAGTTGACTGCGTGGCCAGCTCCCGGGGTGACCTTTGCGCAGTTGTGCTTCTTGGGGCTGGGGAGAAGAAAACAGCTTGACGAATTCCTTAAGTCTCCCTCTAAGGCTCCAGTGTCTCTACCAAAATTTTGGAGGCCCCAGACTCTTTTCTTTTTTTCTTTTTCTTTTGCAATAAAAATAGCTGATATGCAAAATTCTCTTACTGGCCTGCTTCTGTTTATTACTGATGTAGTGTCATAGTGTCCTCCCCCGACCTTACCCCACCCCCCCCGCCCCCATTGGTGCATACTTAAAATGGGACCCGCCCTGAATGGGGATCTCTTGCAGGTTGCTGGCCCACCAGAGAGACCAATTGTTCCTTCATCTTAAAAGAATCTATTAATAGAGGGGCTGGAGCCATAAAAGTACAGCGGGTAGGGTGCTTGATTTGCACGCAGTCTACCTGATCCTTGGCACCCTATTAGGACCCCCAGCGCGACCAGGAGTATTCCCTGAGCACAGTCATGAGTAAGTCTTGAGAATCGTTCAGTGTGGCCCCCAAACAGAACAAAAGGGGATTCTGTCAATAACTTCTTGAGGGCTGCAGAGATAATATGAGTGTTAAGGCATTTGTGTTGCCTGCGGTTAGATCTTGAGACCCCCTATGGTCCCTGGCACACCGCCAGGAGTGAGTCCTGAAATGCCAGGTATAGTGCTGAGCACAGCGGCTGTGACTAGTCACTCTGCCACTCTAAGAATGTTCTTGAAGACCATGGACCAGATGGCCCAGCATCTTTCTCTAACTCATATCATGCCTACAGCGATGATCCTTGCCATTAACATTAGAATCTAGGGATTCTATCTTTCCTTGTTTTCTTCCCTCAAGGGGGTACCAGAAGAGTAAAAGTAAAAACAAACCCTCCTCCTCAACTTCAATTACTTTCAATAGACTTTTCCAGGTCTTGTGTAAAGAGAAAAAGATAAATTTGACATGAAATTCCAGAAATTTGAGGCGGACTTTGTGTCACTTGATATATTTGTACTGATATTGATCACATTGCCTCCTTACCTACAATATTGTTGACTTTATTCATTACACACTATATTAGATCTCTATGACTTACTTCTACTTGTTTGTAAGCTTATTTTTGCTACAAGTTTGTATTTTTTGCAGGGGCATGCCTACACATGCACTCCAGTAGCCCTTTGAGCTATTTCCCTGGCAAGTGTGCACCTGTAAATGCCTTTGAACTTATTCACCCCAATCACCTTGGGAGTCATCATTTTATTATCTCTTTCTCTTTGATTTCTTTTCAGATTTCACACATTGGTCATATCCAGTTCTTGTCTTTGACTTCTCTTGCCCAAGAGTATGTTGTTGCCTATGACAGTATAATAGACTCTTTCCTTATGACTGATTGATAGTTTATGATTATAAACCATGAGCATTGCCTACTGTGGTTCAAACAAAAACAAAAAACAAAGTCTGGTTTCCATTTCTTTCCATGGAAACCATAGACACCCTAAGGAAGCTATTCACTTTTGATGCTGCAACTCTACTTCATTGCCAGTCACTTGGGGTTGCTATAAGCCAAGCTGCCTCTGCCCTCTCTCATTCCCACCTGCTTCAGACTGGGTCAGAGACTCAGAGGTGGGAAGGATCAGGCATTCAGGGAAGCAGGGTAAACTCTCTGGTGTCTTCCAGGCCCCCGTGTCTCGAAGACACTTGGGTTTCATGGATACTATGAGGATTTATGAGATGCAGTGACTTTGAACTGTTCAAAGTTTAGCATGGACTGATTGAATTTTCACTCCATAAAACATAGAGCGGGGAATCCAAAAAGAACTATGATTTCAGTTTGCTTTATGTGTAGGCAATGTAGGCAGCCCCATGTCTGGTATGATTTGGAGGCATTGAAATTGATCATTATAAGCTAATGTTTATTGAGTACTTTGTAGGTATATGACAGCTGCTCCTTAATCTTTAAAAATCCCTTTCAGGTCCTCAATATGTTCTGTCTCAGGTTGTCCTCTTTAGACTCTTAAAATTATTCATGATACCAAATAACTTTTGTTTTGTGGGCTATCTATGTGTATATATGTGTCCATATGTATGTATGTACCTGCTTATACTCCTTTTGGCTGATTGGCTGTGGAGATGCTTCGTAACTTCTCTGAACTATCATGCTGTCATTCATAGAACAAAAAGATGCAGTATCAATAGGAGAGACGGTTGTAATTATTTGACTGGATAATGCCTGGGAAGGACCAACTCAGGGACTGACACAGTGCTTGGCACAGAGTAAGTAAGACCTCAGGCATGATTGGTGATACTCAAATAGTCATGAGAAGCATGGAAACTGTTGCAGGGTCAGTGTGAGGAGTAGGTTAATAGATAGTGAAATCATTCATCGTGAGTGTGCAATCACTAAATAACTGGTTCTAGGCACTCACAGACTTGATCAAAACCCTAGTTTCCTCCATTTGCCATGCGCATGTTGCTTTATCACTCAGAACCATGACTTTATCATCTGTAAAATGGGCACAGTAGTGAAACTAGCCTTAGCTAGTGGTTCTCAAAATGTTGTCCTGGAAGTTCTCCTGGAATGTTACCCAAATGTTACCTTGGAAGTTCCCCCAATAAAACTTTCAGCATTGGCAAAGGGGAGAAAGTGGCACACTGGTGAGGGGGTGTGGTGTTGGAATCATGTACATGAGAAATCATCGTTAACAATATTGTAAATCACAGTATCTCAATCAATTTTAAAACGTTTTAAAAACAGGCTGGTTGGATATTAAAACACAAAAACAAAAATCAGGCAGTCATCAGGGTCACAGCTAGGTTCCTAATAAGACTACAATGTTATGCCTTTCATGCAAATTATCTCACAAATATGCCATAGTCTTCCAGAAGCCATGGAACAAGTAATAGCATCACTGATCTGATGGATAATATAACATGTGTTATAAATTCCTATTTTAATTTTTCCATTTTATCATAATAGGATTAATTGTATTAATAGGTTTAATGATTGTTTTTAATGTTTCCAGAAATGCATAAAGTAATAAGTGTATATAATAATGTGTATATGTGTATCCACAAAAAATGAAAGCTGTTTAGTATCCCTGATAATTGTAAAGGGGACATCTTGAGAGAGTCCTGAGAACACCACCTGAGAGGATGTGTACAGATTAAGGAGCAGCTGGCATATACCGACAAAGTACTCAATAAGCATTAGTTTATAATGATTGATTCCAATGCTATCAAATCACATCAGATAAAGGCTGACACACAAAGCGAATAGAAATCACATTAATATTTGTCTAGTGGCTTGGAAACCTAGGAAGAACAGACGTCTTTGTCAGGTTTTTGAGAAACCTGGGCAGGATTAGGAGTATTGGGGTGGGTTGGGGATGAAGAACAGGTTCTGCCTTGTAATTAGGTGAGAATTAAGCCAGTCTGGGAAATCTTGAAGTTTAGAAATAGCAGGAGACAAAAAGAGTCTTAGCATTACCCTCGAGGAATTTTTAATCTAATGACAACAAATGCACATTTTTAATGCACCTCAAGGAAACCTGGTGGGAGCAGCAATGATTTGGAATAGGTGATGTGGACTGGAAGGTTCTTTGTTCCAGATGTCTGATCTCTACTCACACATGCTCAGTAAGAATTTTAATTTTTATTAATTAGTATTATTACTGGTTTGAGAGTCACATCCAGGGTCTCAGGAGCTACTGCTGTTTTTTTTTTAATTTTTAAAAAGAGATTCCCAACTTTGCAGTTAAGGATCACTCTCAGCAGTGCTGGGGGTGGCCCTGATGGTAACAGAAATTGAACCCCCCAACTTCCAC